GATAGATAGATAGATAGATAGATAGATAGATAGATAGATAGATAGATAGATAGATAGATAGATAGATAGATAGATAGATAGATGGATGGATGATAGACTTTGTCTGTCCCAAAGGTGACAGAAAAGTTGTCTTTGACAGGGCTCCATGTTAAAAACATACATTCAAGAACAAGTAAAAAAAGCAAACATCAATGACACAAAGTACTATAATAAAACACATATCCACACAAAACAACCAAATTTAAAACAATCCTGAAATGGGGGAGGGGGGGGTAACTATGCAGCTTTGTTTAGTAGAGTAATTGCAGAAGGCACAAAGGATATTTTGTAGATGTTTTTCTTGGCCAGGGGAACCTTATTACGCCTGCCAGAAGGGAGAAGGTGAAAAAGATGGTGAAGGGAATGTGACTGGTCCTCTGTGATCTCAGTGGCTTTCCTGACCACAGAGGCCTTGTACAGCTCAGACAGTGGGCTTTGTACTGAACCAGTGATCTTACTAGCCTGGTTAATGATGCGGGATAGTTTTGTTTTTTGTTTCATTGTAATGAAACTATACCAGGTTGAAATTTTGAAAATGAGGATGAATTCGATTAATGACCTTTAGACCAGTTCCAAAACATTTTTTACTGATGTGGAATGCTTTTAGTTTCCTCAGTAAGTGGAGGTGTTGGTGAGACTTTTTGTAAATATTGTCAACATGCTTGGAGAATGAAAGGCTATTATCCATTTAATGTATATTATTTGTAGTTTTTAATTTACTTTTAAGTAATATTAAAATGGATAAAACTACAAAAAATACAATTTAAATTTTGTATGGCTCAAACTAAAATGTAAAATGAAGATACAGTGGTTAGACAATGAAACTGAAACACCTGTCATTTTAGTGTGGGAGGTTTCATGGCTAAATTGGACCAGCTCGGTGGCCAGTCTTCATTATTTGCACATTGCACCAGTAAGAGCAGAGTGTGAAGGTTCAATTAGCAGAGTAAGAGCATGGTTTTGCTCAAAATATTGCAATGCACACAACATTATGGGTGACATACCAGAGTTCAAAAGAGGACACATGCACTTCTTTTTGGTGCATCTGTGACCAAGACAGCAAGTCTTTGTGACGTATCAAGAGCCACGTTATCCAGTGTAATGTCAGCATACCACCAAGAAGGACGAATCACATCCAGGATTAACTGTGGACACAAGAGGAAGCTGTCTGAAAGGGATTTTGTGGTCTAAAACCCAGTGTTTCAGTTTCATTGTCTAACCTCTGTACATTAATGGTCAAATTTAATTATTTTATTTTTTCCTATCAAAACACTCATAAATTACTAAGACATTAATTGTTTACTCTGCTCTTAGTATTTGCCAAATAGGGTTTTCATGTTATTTTAGTCATTCTCAAGTCACACACTTGCACCTACACCACACTCTATAAGTTGTCTTGACAATCACACCCTGCACTGACACAATTTCTTCAGAAAGCATTGTGACGCAGCCACCCACTAGAAAGTCACACGTCACTAGCATGCCGCTACCACTTGTGTGGGTATGATAGAGATGTTAGCCTAGGCATTATGCCAACATGACCAGTCCTGCTTTGAATTCTCCACGTTCAAGCCATGGCCCACATAATGGATACGCTGCCATTTGTGTGCTCTGCCAAGGATCCTGCCACCATAATCATAAATTCTGATGTTGCTAAAAAAAGTTTTGTGCCAGTTCAAAAACCTCAGTCCACTTTTTGATGCACTACTGAAGACCTCACCTAAACCCTGCAAAATACATCTGAAACTTTTTTTAATGCCAACATGAGGTGGTCATTCACTGTGAAGGGAACCTTAGACATTAAATTTTAAAACATGAAAACCAGGTCAATGGATGGTCAAGATTATTCAAAGTTGTCAAAAACTTCTAAAGGAAAATTATATGAACTTTTGGGAAGCTGAGCCCTCCACCAAAACTGGGATTCAGTCTTGTTTTAAAGAAACAATGATCAAAACAGTTGTACAATTTTTCTTAAACTATGTGCCATTTTTCCACACATCTGTATTTTCAAATTTGCATACCCTTTAGTTTGAGATAGATGAACAGCCATTATGAAACTCATGCTCCAACATCAGCACTGGTGGGATAATTAACCTGAATAAGCATATAAAACAACTAAAACTGGGCATTAACAGAACAGAAGAGTGCAAATGTTAAGGAAATGGTATATTTTGAAATATTTTACTGAGCCAAAACCTGAAAAACACACAGTTTCACATAAATCTGCCATAAAAGGGAGCTTTGCTGAGTGACAAAAACAAAGTATCTTCCCTTGAAAAACAAAGTCATCACTACTTGTTAACCAGTTTCCATCATGGCCCGCACACACACACACCTAATATGTCTCTCTATCTTTGTTCCATTGACTTCCATTCATTTTTTGGAAATTTTATATCCTAACCCTGACGATTTACCCTAAAATTAACCTCACAGGTACCTACCTGACCCTAAAACTAACTTAAACTCAATTGGTCCTAAACCCAATCTCCCAAACCAAAATCAGCCTTTAAAGTCGTGGGGACCAGGCTTTGGTCCTCACAAGGAGCATCCATTTCCCACGAACCTGCATTTTCCTGAAAAATTGTCCCCATCAAGTAGCAAAAACATGGGCACACACACACCCATACACACACGCACACACACCAACCACTAAATCTTAATCACTAGAAGCAAATACTACACAACCACTAACAACGCAGGCCACAATACTGAGCTTAATAATATGGAGTATTGAGCCTTCTGGAGATACTTAGTCATGGAGTGGGATCCCCTGGAGAAGAAAACCATACATACCCCCCGCCCCCACATTGTTTGAGTCCCCCTTTTAGATTGTGTTTCTCTTCTTTCACCCACTCTCCTTACCCCAGAACTGTTTCCTCCATTTTCCCTCTTCTCCCTCAGTCATCTTTAGTTTTCCTTACCTCTATCCCCGATACCCGCTAAAGTCATTAGTCAATGTGGAGTTCTGCTCTAGCGAGATCCCCACACTTGAAATTTCAGCAGTTTGTTTGCTGGCAAAGTAATGTTGAGGAGAAGAAGAGGAAAAGACTGAAAAACAGTGTATATATCCTCTACTAGGGTGTTTTATGTAAACTTTAATGACCAAACAGTGTCTCCTAAGTCAAAAGTCAGTTGCAGATGTGCCCACACATTCTAATGACATACACTATTTATTTATTTTGTAACCAGGCAAGTTCTGTTAAGATCGCAAATTTCTTATTCAAGGGAGGCCTGTGCCCAGAGAAAACCCGTGCAAACACGAGGACAACATGCAAACTCCGCACAGAAAGACCCCAGGTCCGAACCGGGGATCGAACCCAGGACATTCTTGCTGTGAGGTGTCGGTGCTAACCACTGAGCCGTCATGTTGCCATATATACACACACACACACACACACACACACACACACACACACACACACACACACACACAC